AAGTATGGACTGATTCATCTAAAAGTAATAGCACCCGGGAGGGAGGGGAGGGAGGTGTGGGTATTAGTATTATTTGTTGTTTGTGTTTGTATATGTCTGTATTAAGAAAGAAGCTTATCTGTATCATGTTCATGCCATGTTCTGAACTGATTCTCAAAAAACATATTTGAAACAGAAATGGATAATTAAGTTGACTAAGTTAGTCAGAAAAAAGAGAGAGAGGTACAGGATTTGAAAAAAAAGGCCCCAGCTCTCTCCCCTTCCTTTCTGATTGGTCTTGAGCCGTGCCTACTTTTCTGTGCTTAATAATTTAAATATTCGATCATAATTGATTATACAGCTCATCACAGCAGCAGTAGAATGCTCCATTGATTTGAATGTAATTTCAAAACGTTGTACCGATCATTATTTGCTCATAATGGACCTCGCAAACCAATAATGACCGCTGCCCTTTGGCAATGCAGCCACAGTTGCTTGTACACTTGCGCGTTCCCCTTCCGGAGTTACCTGGAAAACCAAAGCGGCCCCATTTACGCTAGCTGCTTTCTCCTCTTCAGAACAAAAACATTCTTGTTGGACACAGTTATTAATAAATTGTATTCAGAACAAACAGCAAAACAATAAGTGGTAAATATTTGAGACCAAACATGAACGACTTACAAGTGCAGGAGGAATGCAAAAGACGCGATAAACTAAGAGTGCAGATTCAAACAACGACACTAGCTTATTCTCAAAATAGACTAGTGAACGAGCGACCGGTTAAACTGCTAAACACCTCGTCATTAAATCATGTTGTGTCCAGTTAAAACAGTCGTCTCTCTAACATGAAAATCCTGCGCTTTATATATAGAAAGAAGTGATTTACGGCCTGTGATATCAACTGCTTCGTTCAAAATAAATTATTAATTGAAAGAAATATTGCATCATATACATCATGACCTTTTTTTAATTGTAAAACTGTTAAGTGAAAGTAGGCCATTTCTGGCAAAGTCCACTGGTCTCGCAGCATTTCACATGGATCCAAATCTACAATCACTCTCAATTTCTCTAAGGATCTTGCCTCACAGATTACTCCAGTGTATCAATATACTTAACGCGGTCAGTGTCGGCCGATTTCATGGCTTTAGATGACATGGGGACAAATGATCTGTGACAAATGATACGTGCTATAGACACCAGACTGACAACATGGCGTTCGCGCAAAGCATCAGGGGTAATAAGCACGTGATGGAAAACTATGTATTGTGTGCGGGTGAGAGTGTCTGTGTGTGTGTATGAACCAGTGGGGACATATTTGCAATACAACTCCGAGCCGGTAGGGGTGGAACCAGAAAGAGATTATCCAATACTTTTGAATGGCGTCTCCTTACCTCTCAAAAACGTCGAAAGTGGGGGCACATTAGTTTCAAAGGCGGAGATGGGCGTGATGACGTCCGTTCATATTTACTTGTGCCTGGCACAGCATATTTGCTTTCTGTTTGTTGATTGTGTTGAAGTGTAAAAAAAATACACCTGCTTCATCAACACCTTTTCAAACCTTTAGTTGTGTAAAGATATGTTAAATTGTGTTCTGATGGCTTGAAATAAATCAAACTGTGAGTGATAGGATTTCTGTCATCTTATTTTTGATACATACAATATACAGTAGTTTGAGCTGTAGATGAAATCAATCACTTTCATGGTTAATTATTCCATATCTATTTTGCTGTATTGCACTTCTGCTCAGAGTAACCTCGATCTGAGGAGCAGCGTGGACACAAAGAAGGAAGCTGAAAACCAGGAACTAAAGGTGAGGACTTTACATTTGACCTGTTCAAACGGGAAAGCAGAACTGACTTAAAGCTGTTTTCATTGCCCGGTGAGTGTAACCATGACAACGAAACTTTAGTGTAAATACTCAGATCATGTACATTTTTGGTCTTTCTAACTTTTGTGACTTTTTCTAGATAGATAGTTACTTAATTTATCCCCGTGGTAGAAATTCAGGTGTCGAGTAGCAGCAAAAACACATCCATCCACACAAACAAAACAAATAAATTGATCATTCTAAAAAGTTAACAATAGTAATAGTAACTAGAAACTTGCAATGGCTGAAGCCATTGCGATTGACTGCGGAACAGATCTAATGTGGAAATCTGCTAAAAAAAATCCTTGAAATCCTTTAAAAGGCCTTGAAACTGTTAAAATACTTGATAGATATTTGAAACTCCTGAAGTCCTTGAAATTGTTGAAACCTTTAAACTCCTGAAATCCTTGAAACTGTTGAAACATTGAAACTCCTGAAATCCTTGAAACTTTTTTTAAACCTGGAAACTGTTGAAAGTGTGGAAACTCCTGAAATCCTTGAACCTCCTGATATCCTTGAAACTGGTTAAATTCTTAAACAGTTGAAATCCTTGAAACTACTGAATGTATTGAAAGTGTCCTTGAAACTGAAAAATCCCCTCACCGCTGAAACAATTTGGTTCCTGTAACTAAGGAAACCTGGTCTGTGGTCATTATCTGGTGGTGGTCTGAGTCTTCGTTTGGGTCTTGGTCTGGTGGTATAATGCAACCTATTAGGTTGCATTATACTGGTTTACATGGAAAAATCCCTATTAGGTTGCATTATACTGGTTTACATGGAAAAATCCCTATTAGGTTGCATTATACTGGTTTACATGGAAAAATCCCTATTAAGTTGCATTATACTGGTTTACATGGAAAAATCTCTATTAAGTTGCATTATACTGGTTTACATGGAAAAATCCCTATTAGGTTGCATTATACTGGTTTACATGTACAAATCCCTATTAAGTTGCTTTATACTGGTTTACATGTAAAAACCCCTATTAGGTTACATTATAGTGGTTTACATGTAAAAATCCTTATTAAGTTGCATTATACTGGTTTTACGTAAAAACCCCTATTAAGTTCCATTATACTGGTTTACATGTAAAAACCCCTATTAAGTTCCATTATACTGGTTTACATGTAAAAACCCTATTAAGTTGCATTATACTGGTTTACATGGAAAAATCCCTATTAAGTTGCATAATACTGGTTTACATGGAAAAATCCCCATTAAGTTGCATTATACTGGTTTACATGAAAAAAACCCTATTAAGTTGCATTATACTGGTTTACAAGGAAAAATCCCTATTAAGTTGCATTATACTGGTTTACATGGAAAAATCCCTATTAAGTTGCATAATACTGGTTTACATGGAAAAATCCCCATTAAGTTGCATTATACTGGTTTACATGTAAAAAACCCTATTAAGTTGCATTATACTGGTTTACATGGAAAAATCCCTATTAAGTTGCATTGTACTGGTTTACATGGAAAAAACCCTATTAAGTTGCATTATACTGGTTTACATGGAAAAAACCCTATTAAGTTGCATTATACTGGTTTACATGGAAAAAACCCTATTAAGTTGCATTATACTGGTTTACATGTAAAAACCCCTATTAAGTTGCATTATACTGGTTTACATGGAAAAATCCCCATTAAGTTGCATTATACTGGTTTACATGAAAAAAAACCCTATTAAGTTGCATTATACTGGTTTACATGAAAAAACCCTATTAAGTTGCATTATACTGGTTTACATGGAAAAATCCCTATTAAGTTGCATTATACTGGTTTACATGGAAAAATCCCTATTAGGTTGCATGATTACACTGAAGTCCTTGAAACTGCTGAAGTCCTTGAAACTGCTGAAGTCCTTGAAACTGCTGAAGTCCTTGAAACTGTTGAAGTCCTTGAAACTCTTGAAATCTTGAAACTGCTGAAATCCTTGAAACTGTTGAATCCTTGAAACTGTTGAATCATTGAAACTGTAGAAATGTCTGAAAGAGCTGAAGTCCTATTAAAATGCATGGGCCTATTAAAATGCATTGCAGAATTCTCAATGCAGATTTTTGTCCGATTGCGGAAAAACCGGAAATCGCTGAAGTCCCAAAAGTAATAGCAATAATCTCCCAAACATGTGGAACGTTTTGATGTATAACTTGTGGAAATTGTTGAAAATGTGAAAGCTGTGAAACGTGTCAAAAAAAATGACGGAATAAAGAAATACAAAACCAATGGTTGACTGCGGAAGGTTCCGCAGTCAATCAGAACATTTAGTTGTGGCCTTATTTCACTCCTATTGTCATTCTTAGCTTTGTCAACTTTGGGTTTAGCTCCACAATTGTTCCAATAACTCTCATTGTTGATTTTGGGAAAAGAAATGACGTCATAACTTACATTTCCAGTCTGTCCATTCATCCCATTTTCACTCATTGGAAGAGTCGGGTTAAGTCCCATTTCTGTTTCCACAATAGATATCCGTGTTTGAAGAGATTTGAGCTGATTTTCCAATGCACAACAGCCGCCGCAGACGCTTCTCCGTCTCTTTCGCTCCGACATGACTAAAGTTGATAAATTCCACAAAGCTGAAGTGTGTAGAAGGAGTAATCCTCGTTTTGTAAATAAAATGATTAAAGGATAAACAAAAAAATGTAAATAAAATGATTCAAGGAGATTAAAAGGCGAAGCAAAAGCAGAGCCGAGAGACACACGACTGCTCTCTCGAGAAGTTATACACGTTTCTCACCATCTGAACGCACGACTGCTGAAGTGTGAGGTAGTGCGGAGGTCTGAGTGCTGCTGCAGCTGTCAAAAGCCATGCATAGTGTAAAATAGAGACAATAGATAGACGCCAAAGACAGACAGAGAGAGAGAGACCACATGTTTTCTTCTGACTTTAATTGAAGGTAACTGTCATGTTATACCAGTGGTTATATATGTGTTGTATATGATGTTGTTGGAGTATACAGTACAGGCAGAGTATAGTATACATATATACAACATGTTCTTGTTATAGTGTTTTTTGAGCCGTGACACACCTTTTTCATGGTGATGTTGTATAATTTCCCAAGGCACAACAAATAACACTTCATGGCACACTAACATCCCATGGCACACTGGTATAACATGTATAACCTGAGTGTTGTTCCTGCAGCTGTGGGACATGGGCTCGGGTAAAGTCATCACGGAGTTCAAGTCTCACACGGGAGCAGTCAACACTGTCCAGTTTCACCCGAGCGAGAATCTCCTGGCCTCCGGCAGCGCAGACCGGTAAGCACCACCTCTAACTCCCGATGCAAACAGACATGCGATTGTAAAGAACGTAATTTCAAATGGCCAGTTGTTGAAGACCTCACAAAATGGTGCTTTCAGTATGTAACGTGTTTGTTGTGGCAGGACGGTGAAGCTGTGGAACCTGGTGAATTTCACGATGGTCGGATCATTGAAGGGAGACACCAGCGCCGTCAGGTCTGTGAGCAGAGATGGGTTATATGACATTTTTTATTTTGGCCACTTGCACATTTACATACACTGTTACAGAGCAGTAACTTTTCAGCAGAAAGAAAGACCAAAAAGGTGTAGGCTGAAACTTCCCTATTTTGCCGTTGTCATGGAATTTATAAAAGCAACTGTATAAACATTGGGATTCTGAATTCATGTAGCCATCCAAAGTGATAGTTTGGAAAAGTTAATTACATGATTTAAGTTCATCTGCATCCATTCCAGAGATCAACCCCTCTAGGAGATAAACATTTCATTTAATTGTTTCTACATTTTTGCTTTCACAACCATTTCTGTTGTGGTTTTGACAGAAGGCCAGTTTTTCAAGACACATTTATGGATACAGGATTACTACAGATTTTTCACACACTTGTAGTTTTGGCCTTAGCTATTTTAGACCCAAAAGTGAAAAAAGCTCTTGCTCTAGGACATCGTACAACATTTTTGGACATGCATTAACATTTATGGACATTGGTCATACGGCCCCTTATGGAACAGTGGCTCTATGTGTTTTTAATGTTTGATTCTCTGATCTTTATGGGCGAATCAACAACTTTGTATAGTACTCAGAGATTAGAGCTGTAGTTGGCTGGATGACACTGAACTTGTGTTTATGATCTCAAAGACTACTTTTGGTTTGCTACTTTTGGGCAAGGCAACATTTGGACTTGAACGTAACCTTAGAAGTGAGCATGATGTTTCATTCTGGCCCAAATGATAGGGATGATGACTTTTGCATTGGAATAGCTTTTTGTCTCTTGCGTGCGTGTTTGGGTCTCTCCTGCTTAACATTCCACGGTGTCTCTTTAGCCCTGTTTCCTCTCTGCTCCTCAGATGTGTGTTCTTCAGTCCAGACGGCTCCTGTCTGTACAGCGGCTCCTCCGACACGCTCCGGGTGTTCGGGTGGGAACCGGACCGCTGCTTCGACGTGGTGTCTGTCGGCTGGAGCAAAGTGTCGGATCTGTCCATCTGCAACAGACAACTGGTGAGGAGCACAGAGGAGACTCAGCCCCGACCACTACAAGACCACCTTAGACTAGCTGAGTGTTTGCTTATTTATATGGATCCCATTAGCTGAAAGCATTGCCAAGGTCTTCTCTTCAGGCCTGGGGGATCTGGGGAAAAAATTCTCAGAGTTTTCTTTAACCAAGCAAAATAGCTGATGGCACAAAGCAATATTTTTTTCCAACAAACTGTTGATAAGGGTTTAGCCAATCCCAGTGAAAGACGAGGAGTGACTGGGGCTCTCTTCCACTGTTGCCTTGTACGCAATATTTTACACTTGTGGCTTGTGTGCATCGCAGTGCTACGTTTCTAAGGACAACAGTGGTCTTCCCGTATAATGTGTGTTTACAGCCCTAAAACATACTGCTGTTACTGAGAGGATTTCACTTATCGTGGGATATTTTTAGAACGTAACCCCCGTGAAAAACGAGTGACCACGGTTTTTTTGAAGCAAAGACTGTCGTCTACTTTTAGATGAAGGAAAATTGACAAACAAGAACCAAAAAATCCATGAAGCAAATCTCCCCATGTCATTGTGCAATAGTTTAACACAACTATGACGTATTAAAAGTATAAAGAAGCTTTGGTTTGTGTTTGACGCGGTCTCCTTCAGATCGGAGCGTCGCATCAGCTCTCCACCGTCTCCACGTTTGTTGTGGATCTCACGCGTGTCAAGCGGAACGGAAGAGACGTGCTCCAGGACATCATCCTGGACGACCGGCTTCTGTCCGTCCCGCCCAGGTAAGGAGACCGCGCTTTCTAATAAACTCTTGATAGGTCACATCAACATCATATTAAGCACTTCACTGGGTGCAAATTTGGGGATTGTCCTGAACCTGAAGATGTGATTTCTGTGACGACACACAAGTTACTTACGCTTTGTCAACGTTCTCAGGGTGAAGCCGTTTTTTGACCGCCGCAGTCCCGAGGGAGAGCGGCGCAGTCCCAGTGAAGACGAAGGAGACGAGAAAGTGTCTTCAGCTGAAATCCACAACGCTGACGATTACAAGGCGATCTTCCAGCCCAGAAACGTCATCCGTACGTTACCAGATAAGATCAAACTTTTTTATTAGTTTACATTTCACTTTGGCATGAATAGGATCACTCAGGGTGTGCAAAAAGACATGAAATGCACAAACATTTAAAAAGCTGAAGTATCATTTGTGCAATAAAGCTGCCCTCTACCAAAATGTTGAACTATAGACATTACCCAAGAACGGAAGTAACCACTGTACTTTTCTTTCGCAGCTCGAAGACCTCCAAAGTTTCCGGAACCTTTCCCTGCTCCCCCTGAAGACGGTGAGATCAGCTGAACAACAGATCAATGTGCAGTCACTTCTACAATCTGCCTGAAATAATGGCTGCTTTTTCTATGGTTATATTTCACAGACTCTGTCCTGGGAATAAGTAGCAAAATGAAAGGAATCGCTCCGTTTGCTGAAAAACAGCAGGTCAGAATGGAACACACGTTTTCCTTTTGATGTCTTATTCAAGTATTCGGAGAATTGATTCTTGGATAGACCAGAGAGGGATAGACCAGAGAGGGATAGACCAGAGAGGGAGAGACCAGCGAGAGGGAGAGACGAGGGAGAGGACCAGAGAGAGGGAGAGACCAGAGAGAGGGAGAGACCAGAGAGAGGGAGAGACCAGCGAGAGGGAGAGACCAGCGAGAGGGAGAGACCAGCGAGAGGGAGAGACCAGCGAGAGGGAGAGACCAGAGCGAGGGAGAGACCAGCGAGAGGGAGAGACCAGCGAGAGGGAGAGACCAGAGCGTTGGAGAGACCAGAGCGTTGGAGAGACCAGAGCGTTGGAGAGACCAGAGCGTTGGAGAGACCAGAGCGAGGGAGAGACCAGAGCGAGGGAGAGACCAGAGCGAGGGAGAGACCAGAGCGAGGGAGAGACCAGAGCGAGGGAGAGACCAGAGCGAGGGAGAGACCAGAGCGTTGGAGAGACCAGAGCGAGGGAGAGACCAGAGCGTTGGAGAGACCAGAGCGTTGGAGAGACCAGAAAGAGGGTCTGATTTGCTGGATTCTTTTTCTCATGTTGTATCTCATAGTTGTCTACCATACCATAAAAAAAATATAGGCATCTCTTTTTATTTTAAGTGGGAGGAGTTTCACAATTAGCGGCTGACATATATATTTGTCTCACTGCATGTTCTCTAAAATCCGAGGCGAAGAGAAAACTTTTACTAACGCTGTTTCCCCTCAGGTCTCTCCCATCGCTCAGTCCACTCCTGTGCAGAGAGTGGAGCCCACGGTGGTGTGTGCAAAGCGGGTTCCTCCCCCAGCGGAGCCTCCCACGGCCTGGCCTCCTCCTGCTCCCTCTGCTCCCTCTGCTTCACAAAAATAATTTACCATTTGTTCTACATTCATAAATTATTCTTTATGTTCTCATGACTTTATGTTCTCATGACTGAAGCTAAAAACATATTTCTTCTAATGCTATTTTCATCTCAGTAACGCAAAAAATAAAATGTGTATTCATTATTGCCAATATTGCCCATTGCTTGCTGATAGAATTTGCTCTAATACGGCACTAATTAAATATCCGTTCATTTTCTTCTGCTTGGGTTTGTGAGAGAGCAGGTTTGATGACTGAAGAAATGGCACAAAAAGTTAAAATTTCTACTGTTCCCAGGTTTGTTTTTTTTTGGAAGCGTTTAGAAACTGGTTTATAATGTTTCTGTAAATACATGTAAAATTTTGGGATTAAAAAGTAAATTAAAAGCCTTGTCTGTTGTTGAAAATATTGTGCATTATCTGTGGTAATGAGCCTGTTTTAGAATGTGAAATGAGAAGAGGGCTACATTGAGACTCCCACGGACTGAAGGACAGGCTGTAGATCCAGGACTGAGGCTGTAGATCCAGGACTGAGGCTGTAGATCCCAGGACTGAGGCTGTAGATCCAGGACTGAGGACTGAGGCTGCAGATCCATCACTGAGGCTGAAGATCCAGGACTGAGGCTGAAGATCCAGGACTGAGGCTGAAGATCCAGGACTGAGGCTGCAGATCCATCACTGAGGCTGAAGATCCAGGACTGAGGCTGAAGATCCAGGACTGAGGCTGTAGATCCAGGACTGAGGCTCGACAGTCCAGGATCGACAGCCTTGATCCAGGCTTCTCAGTCCTGGATCATGAATTGATCCAGGACAGAGACTATATGCTTTTATTATATAACACAATGGGATCTAATTGAAGCGGAAAACCACTATCCCTGTTGTCATAGTCTAATAATGTGTGAGAGTAAAAAGTTCAAAAACATTAATTTAGTCAGAAGGGGCGGGGGGGATGTGTCTGTGCCAGGATTAGGTCCATAGTAGTAATGATATTAACACCCAATGAAAGAAGTCAGATTTTTATAATTCTCCTCTTGATTTCTAGTTTTTTGCTCCGGTTTTAGTTTCTACAACAAAAAACTTACCACAAATCCTCTTTTTTTTTTATTCAGTTGAAGAAAAAAAATACTTGTTTGGTTCCAGAAAGAAACAAGCTGAGATTTGCATAGAAGTGATCACAAACACTGGTAAAAAATTACACAAAATTGAATATAAAAATTGTGTGTATCCCTTTGCACAGCGTCATATTCGCAGCATATTTAAAGCTGGGGTATGTAACCTTCAGGCTTCAGCCCAAAGAGTCAAATAGTGACTCACTGGGCTGTCGTACACAACAGATTGGAATTTAGGTACCCCAGCTTTAACTCACGAATCAGCTGAAAACTACAGGAATAAACTAAGAACAAAAAGGTTGTTTTTTTTCCCACAATCGCTGTAACACAAAGATCTGAAAATAGTCACACATTTCTCAGCAATTATTTGTTGATTTTCTATTTTTATTTTATTTTTTACATTTTTGGGTTCTTGGGAACATAGATTAGTTCATGCATTAAAAAAAGTCATACTTTTTTGCCATAATCTTTGAAATTAATGTTGCTTTTTTGCTTGTTTTGACATCTACTATATCTCCAGTATTTTTCACAATAAAGCAGCCCCTTTCCTTGGAAAACTCATCACCTGTAAAATTTTCCGGAGGAGAATAGTTCGACCAATGGGGAGGGACCTCAGCTGTCATTGAGCGAAAGGGGTTAGCATTGTCAGTCTATATACAGTTTGGGTATGAACGGCTCACGGACTTTATAATGGTGTAAATATTTATGAATTTTTTACAAATGGTTCAAATATGTGGCAATTTAAAAGTCTGTTATAGAAATTGTGTTAAAGCGATTGAAAAACTAGCAAGCTGTGAGTGACATTGGGTTAACATCATTCATAAATACATTTCTGTGGAGCATACATGAAGTTAAATGCGTGATTGAAACGTCTCGCCCAAATTCACAACACCGAAAGTGAACCGCAAACCCTCAGCTCTCCTCTTCATTAAGACACGTCTAAATCATCTGAAAAGAATCTCTTAAAGTGGCGTTTTAATGAGGTTTGTGTGGAAATTAACACTGATGTCTGTAAACACAAAATACACAAGACGTCAAAAAGATACAATATTTCAATAGATTTCAACGTTTCTTTGGCAAAAGTCACGTTTTTTCACACAATTTCTCATCATTCTGAAAATACCTTCAAGTTGTACTTTTTGATGATGAAATTTTGAAGACATTTTTGTCCATAAAAATTATATACTGACATTTTCTGCAAAATCGACTTTTCTCCAAAAATTTAGCTTTTATATTTGGAGTGGACTGACAGAGTGTGACATCACCCTTCTATTGGTCTTGATGCGGAGACCAATTTGAACATAAGCTAGCTGGAGCGGTTTCTTGTTCTGACGGCATTAGCTTTGTGCCATAAGAGAGACAGACTTGTTGCTAAGGCGGTTGCTAAGGCAAGCAGGAAGTTCCTGATCTCAGTTTGGATGGATTCAAAAACATTGTGACACTAAAAAGTTGATTTTGCAGAATACAGTATGTCAAAGTTCACATTTACCACCATTTCTTGGGGATTAGCTTAAAAAATTTGCCAATTTCTTCTTTATATTAAACTCTTCCAACTAAACTCACTTTTTTTTTAAACAACAGTGAAAGACACAAAAGTAAGACATCGATACACCAATAAATGTCACAGTAAAGTGGAAACATGAGTGCAGTCCTAAAGCACATCGACATAGAGTGGTTTTCCTTCGAGGGGTGTGATGTCACAAACAACCAGAAGCATCTGAAATCTACCGGCAGTGCTGCTTGGATAGTGCGACTTTGAAATGTAAGACCAAATTAAATCACTATCACTGTAAAACGGAAATATATGTTAATAAATGTAGTTTGTTGAGTATAATTTGACCATAGTGCCATTGGAACAAGCATACAACTATCTTTTATACTATAGCGTATATTAGGAGTGGACTGACCGAGTGTGACATCACCACAGTGTTAGCCTTAACCCTCTATGGCATACTTTTGCCCTCGGGCAACAAACCAATCTTTTGGCTCTTACACTGGCCCTTTAATGTTTTTTTTTTTTTTTTTTTTTTTATAAAATTACTAGACATGTTTCTGTCCAATTAAATCAAGTTCTGAAGTGGGTGGGGGCAATTGTCTGGGGGTGGAGCAGTCCTTTCAGGAAGCAGAGTCACAAGTGACACAGTGCCAGAAAAAGGTAGGATAAAATATAACTTTTCTACATGTTTAAATTCGAAAAACTTGATAAAATAAATATGTGACTATGCATGAATATGTTAAGAAGCATATTTGATTGTTAATATATGTTTTTTGTTTCCATTTATATACAAAAACTGCACGTTTAGGTTTGTTGCCTCAAGGCAACATCATGCAGTTGTAGCACTTTTGTTTGGGCAGTGTAATGCTGCTGGTTGGGGATGTGCTTGAATGGATAATCAACACCACACTCAATGTTTTTTGCTGTTCTATCTTCCATTCTGATCTATCTACTATTGCTTGTAGGAAATGGATGCAATAACGTTTTACGGGTCCAAGAATGAAGGAGTTAGGGACATTCCAATCGATAGTCCTGGTCTCAGGTCTCTGTCCTGAAGTCCTCTCACATTAGTCCTGGTCTCAGGTCTCTGTCCTGAAGTCCTCTCACATTAGTCCCTGTCTCAGGTCTCTGTCCTGAAGTCCTCTCACATTAGTCCTGGTCTCAGGTCTCTGTCCTGAAGTCCTCTCACATTAGTCCTGGTCTCAGGTCTCTGTCCTGAAGTCCTCCCACATTAGTCCTGGTCTCAGGTCTCTGTCCTGAAGTCCTCTCACATTAGTCCAGGTCTCAGGTCTCTGTCCTGAAGTCCTCTCACATTAGTCCTGGTCTCAGGTCTCTGTCCTGAAGTCCTCTCACATTAGTCCTGGTCTCAGGTCTCTGTCCTGAAGTCCTCTCACATTAGTCCTGGTCTCAGGTCTCTGTCCTGAAGTCCTCCCACATTAGTCCTGGTCTCAGGTCTCTGTCCTGAAGTCCTCTCACATTAGTCCTGGTCTCAGGTCTCTGTCCTGAAGTCCTCTCACATTAGTCCTGGTCTCAGGTCTCTGTCCTGAAGTCCTCCCACATTAGTCCTGGTCTCAGGTCTCTGTCCTGAAGTCCTCTCACATTAGTCCTGGTCTCAGGTCTCTGTCCTGAAGTCCTCTCACATTAGTCCTGGTCTCAGGTCTCTGTCCTGAAGTCCTCTCACATTAGTCCTGGTCTCAGGTCTCTGTCCTGAAGTCCTCTCACATTAGTCCTGGTCTCAGGTCTCTGTCCTGAAGTCCTCTCACATTAGTCCAGGTCTCAGGTCTCTGTCCTGAAGTCCTCTCACATTAGTCCTGGTCTCAGGTCTCTGTCCTGAAGTCCTCTCACATTAGTCCTGGTCTCAGGTCTCTGTCCTGAAGTCCTCTCACATTAGTCCTGGTCTCAGGTCTCTGTCCTGAAGTCCTCTCACATTAGTCCTGGTCTCAGGTCTCTGTCCTGAAGTCCTCTCACATTAGTCCTGGTCTCAGGTCTCTGTCCTGAAGTCCTCTCACATTAGTCCTGGTCTCAGGTCTCTGTCCTGAAGTCCTCCCACATTAGTCCTGGTCTCAGGTCTCTGTCCTGAAGTCCTCTCACATTAGTCCAGGTCTCAGGTCTCTGTCCTGAAGTCCTCTCACATTAGTCCTGGTCTCAGGTCTCTGTCCTGAAGTCCTCTCACATTAGTCCTGGTCTCAGGTCTCTGTCCTGAAGTCCTCCCACATTAGTCCTGGTCTCAGGTCTCTGTCCTGAAGTCCTCCCACATTAGTCCTGGTCTCAGGTCTCTGTCCTGAAGTCCTCTCACATTAGTCCTGGTCTCAGGTCTCTGTCCTGAAGTCCTCTCACATTAGTCCTGGTCTCAGGTCTGTGTCCTGAAGTCCTCCCACATTAGTCCTGGTCTCAGGTCTCTGTCCT